CCCCAGACCCTAACAACGCTTTTTTGTGTTATAGTTGGACATGCAGTTGCTGCACTTATTTGCAATATTTTCATCAAAACGTTGTATTTCTTTTAATTATGCATTTGGTTTTTGTGTATGTTATACTCTATCTGCAGTTGTTCTTATTTGTAACGTCTCAAAACTTTGAATTTCTCCTCCCTCCTTCCCCCTTTTTTTACGCAATGCTCCCTTCAGACAGGGTAAGGTATTTCAGTGAATAAATAGCTAAGGTGAGAAGTCCGAGATGTGTCAGCTTGCGATGCACTAACACTATCGTACTTCTATCGTCATATGCTTGCCACGTATTATTCCATCACTCTACAGGGTGCCGTAATCTTTCCTAAAATAAATTATGACTGAAAACATAGCCACGTTTCCCATCTCGTGCCACGCAGATGTAGATCTAGGCCAATACCTGGTGTCCAACATAACGCTCCCTGATTTTTTTTTAAATTAATTTTTATATGCCAGTTAGGGTTGGGCAGAAATACTGAAAAATGTATTTGGAAATACAAATACTGGGATACATGAAAGTAGTGGCTACAATGGTGAAACTCAAATATATCTGTAAAAATGTATTGCGATACGTATCGAAAATACATTTTAAAAAGTGGCAAAAAGTCTTTGGAAAGAAAAATGCAGGAATACATTTTAGTGAGGGCAGGTATACAAATACTGAAATGTCATGATGGACAGAACAGCGCACACAAAGACAAGGACAGAGAAAAGGAACATGCAGGACACACAAGCGCTGACTCGCAACTGAAATTTATACACAAAAGAAGGAAGAAGAAAACGTTCTGAAAGACACGCAGGGCACGCAGTGCTTATGACACGCGACACAACAGCATCTAACTGCAATGTCTTTGCCCCATAGTTCTTTCTAAAAACAAGGTTTCAGTGTTTAGTAGTGTCACTGATGGGTGGCTGACGCAGCAGTCCCCCAGGCTGTTGATGCAATGTGCTTCTAAGATTTCGCGAGTTGTCTTGTCTCGATAGTGTCCAATTATTGTTGTGCCTTTTAGAATCGGAACACACGAGCAGGAATTGCAGTGAACTGGAAGGTGACCACCCACCGTAGATTTTAGCGAACGATCATGCTCGAGAAGGCGATCGTTTAGGCACCGTCCGGTTTGGCCCACATAGCTTTTACCACACGTTAATGGGATTTTGTACACCACACCAATTGAACATGTTCAATTGGTGTGGTGTACAAAATCCCATTAACGTGTGGTAAAAGCTATGTGGGCCAAACCGGACGGTGCCTAAACGATCGCCTTCCCGAGCATGATCGTTCGCTAAAATCTACGGTGGGTGGTCACCTTCCAGTTCACTGCAATTCCTGCTCGTGTGTTCCGATTCTAAAAGGCACAACAATAATTGGACACTATCGAGACAAGACAACTCGCGAAATCTTAGAAGCACATTGCATCAACAGCCTGGGGGACTGCTGCGTCAGCCACCCATCAGTGACACTACTAAACACTGAAACCTTGTTTTTAGAAAGAACTATGGGGCAAAGACATTGCAGTTAGATGCTGTTGTGTCGCGTGTCATAAGCACTGCGTGCCCTGCGTGTCTTTCAGAACGTTTTCTTCTTCCTTCTTTTGTGTATAAATTTCAGTTGCGAGTCAGCGCTTGTGTGTCCTGCATGTTCCTTTTCTCTGTCCTTGTCTTTGTGTGCGCTGTTCTGTTCATCATGTCATCATACCAACTCGCCCAACTTACTACACTTCTGAAATACTGAAATACTGATACTGCGATACATTTTTAAAAATTTTTTTTTAGACGCCAACTGATATTAAGTTTGAAGTTTGAGGTGGAAGTTTTTGATCCCGAAATTACTTTCCCACAGGCTTGTCACTTCGCCTTGAAGGTAGTGTTTCCGGACGAAGAGGAGTTTTCAATGGGCTCAAAAAAGTTCCATCAGTGATTGACCGCGGTCCCTTCCCTGACTTCCTGTCGGTCTGACAAGTGACGAGAAAAGACTTCCTCTAAATAAATTATATGCCGCCCTAATTTCCATCAAAGTGGACCCCAGATCATGCACAGGGGCTGCTATTTTCGCAGGAGAATAAGTAAACATTTGATCACACGTAAAATAAATTTAGTATTCAATTTAGGCTTGTGTCCTTGATTAAACTTTATATTTGATTTTATTACAATTATTTGGTACTCGCGAATCTCTACATAATTTTGCAATGAGCTAAAAGTGATGGATCACTTTTTTTCTTTCGTCACGCGAGGTTATTTAACACATCGGAAATGAGCTCCGCAATAGGCGCCATCCTGCCTATGAGTTTAAAAAGAATGACTTCTCTATTAAATTAAGGTCGGAGCTTATTTTCTTCTATGTCATCCCCTAACCAGGCAGAAAGCTGCCAAAGCTTTACTTCCAGATGGCTGTTACAGTTTTATTTTTTCTCTCTCTCGCTGCATTAGAGGCCAGGAGGCTTTTATTCTCGAAGTGCTGAAAGAAACATTGGAACAACGGCACTGACATCATCCAACCATTTGTGCCAGGGGTGGCCAAGTTGCGGCTCTTTGCGTGTTAAAGTGAGTCTCGCAGCTCTCTAGTAAACCTAATATCCCCCCAATGCCCCCCCCCCCCCCCCCCCCCGCCTTCCCCGCCTCCCTCCAGGGAAGGGAAGGAGGCGGGAAAGGGAAGAAGTCGCGGTTTGGTAGTCTTGTGCTACCTTACGTACAGTTGGACTGCTTTTGACTCACTCGTATAGATCTAAAGTATAGTGAAAGTTTCATATATTGCTCTAGAAAATTTATTTTATTGCTCTAATAGCCCTCCCCCCCCCCCCTCCCAACCACACACACACACACTTTTCCGCCTTTCTTCTTCCAGGCGGCTCTGGGAAGATTATTGGTTTTGTTTGCGAATTTTAGGTCTTGGTCAACCTGGCCACCCCTGACCTATGCGGACAGCATATGTTCCCCTCTCATTCTGGGTCAGATGGCTTGTTTCCTGTGAGTGACGAGCCGGAAATGATCACTTCGACGACAGCGTGCATGCCGAGCGCAATAGATTTTTCGCGAGTTTGCAAGGGAGGCTAAAGTCATTGCCGCGATTGTGAAGGGCTTCCTAATGCACTGGAAGCGATGTGGTTCGTGGTTTGGTACAGCCACGCCGATCAAGGAATGATATATTTCGTATTTTGAAGATGGAGTGGGGTCTTCAATACCCATACCGCTTGCAACCCCCTTGATGCCAATGCCTTTATTGTTTGGAAACATGTCTGTTTTCTTCACTATTGTTTGTTGAACGGAGTCGACAATTGTGGCCATTGTTGTTTATGAGTTTTAGTAGGCCTGCCTCCATCCTTTTGCCCTAAATGTTTCTGCTGTTGCTTCGTATTGAACATCTTCGTATCGAGAGTCTGCAGCTCTATGTACCGCTAGTGAATGCACTTCTTAGCGGCACCCACAAGAAATGTGTCTCCTAAACTGTCCAAAACAACTTTTTTTTTTTCTAATTTTTTTAAAATTTTTGTAATTGCTTGTTTTAGAGTATCTTAGAACCGTGACGGATGACTCGCAACGGATGGGAAGAACTTTAATTTCTCCTCTCATTTGGGTAAAACAATCGAAGCTATACGATTTCGCGGGAGAAGCTTCTTGCTGGTGGGATTTCTCCACATGGAATACCATTAATAAACCCTATGCTCTTACTAAAGACGCCGAGAACGCATCTATCGACCCAAAGCGAAATACGATATGATCCGTCTAGTGCGTACATTGGAAAAGAGACACAGGCAAACGAACCATAACGTCCAACGTCTCCAATCCTTACGCAGGATAGTGCTGCGCCTAACAAAGTCACTTACGTCGTATATTGTGTGAGAACTACCGGTTTTCCTCCCGCCCGAATGCACAAGCCGCGAACGTTTCGGCCAGAGTCGTCTGGCTTTGAGCTTGCTCGTTTTCTATCATGTCGTGGGGAGTACACTACCGTGCTGTCCTACGCTCTCGTACTCCTACGCGAGACTCCCGTGCCAGCGAGACTGTGCGGGACGGTCTTCCCTTCTCCCAGTGGACGGCCGTCTGGCGAGGCGTTTTGGATTAGACTCCGGGATACTGGTGGAGTCGCGGCGTGAGCTCGTCCGACCGGCGATGACTCAACGCTAGCGTTTCCCCTGGCTCTGACAGTCGGCGTCCCCTCTTCCGAGTGGGCGTCCGCCTGCCGAGAGCTCTGGCCTGAACTCCTGCGACGACTGCTTGCGGCGTGAGCTCGTCCGACCGGCGATGACTACGGTCGCGATACCCTTTGGTTCTCAGGTCTGCGAGCGCTGCCGGCACCTTGTGTTCACGGCTCGCGTGACCGCAGTGTCTTGTTGGCGACCCCTGTTTTTCAATGAAGGCTGTTGGATACCGGCATCATCCCTGTCGGTATGTCGTTGGCGAACCCAGCGCGGCGACTGCCCTCGCTTGTAGCCGTCGGCCGCGCGGTGGGACGGGCATCGGGTTCTCTTTTAAGCACTGGTCCCAGACGTTACGGTACGTAACCCCGACAGTCGGCAAGTGACAAATGGATGACCAAGTCTACAAATTTATTTCGTGCAAATAAATGAATTTCTAGGAAGAATACGTGCACCGAACAGTCCGTGCACCGAAAAGTCTGTGCACCGAAAAGTTTGTGCACCGAAAAGTCTGTGCACCGGAAAGTCTGTGCACCGAAAAGTCCATGCACCGAAACGTCCGTGCACCAAAAAGTACGTGAACCGAAAAGTCCGTGCACCGAAAAGGCCGGGCACCGAAAAGTCGGTACACCGAGAAGTCCGTACACCGAGAAGTCCGTACACCGAGAAGTCCGTACACCGAAGCGTCCTTGCACAGAAAAGTTTCGGCATAGAAAAGCCCGCACCTAAACGTCGTACACCGAAATGCCCAACACTGAATATCGTCTTATTTGGTCAATAGTTGATATGGTCAAATGTGTCATGTCTGTACCGGTGGTTCCACAAGCCGAATCAGATTTTACGGGCCGCCAGACAAAACCTGAATGTGTCTGGGCTGCCAACAACTAATCCAAGTTTTTTGTACTGGTATTGTGTCATCTCAAAACCGGCGTAAATCACGGCTTCTTTGAGCACGTTTTCGGTGAGGTTCGCGTGGGTGAAATCAGTGGTTCCCACGGGATAGCTTTTGACGCCTCCCATGCCTACAATGATTAGCAGACCGCCCTGTTTTGCGAGTGTTCCCACGTTGCGAACCGCGCTTCGGAAAGATTCGTGGTCTGCTGCTGCTGAGTCCAGGCACCCAACTGAAAGGACGACGTCGAAAGCCTCCCTGTGTTCCTCAGGGAGCACTCGGGGTTCCAGGACGTCGCAGGGAACCACCTTACGGATGGCCTTGCGCGTACGCTCCAGTATTTCCAGCGCCCCCTTCTTGACGTCGCTGCAAAGCAGAAGGAAAAAAGTGGACGTCAGCATTTATGCAGGTATGAAGGCTAGCACTGTGTTCAGACACGTGAAGAAACATCCGGAGTATCAGGTTTCTGGGGTTCCTCTTTTCGTAAGCTGTCCTCAGACCTGCGAGGTTACATATTGCCACTTATCGCGAGCACATAAATCTTAGCTGTCCCGATGCCTTATGCTCGACCTTTATACTCCGTTTCGCCTTAAATCCGACTGCAACCGACGTTAAAGGGCAACTCCGCTCAATTGGGAAGATTTCGGGATAATGAGTGATTTCGAATTAAAACCCCTAGCAAAAGACACTGCGTCATTTGCTTTGCGAAGCATGGGATATATATTTTTAAATCTAATTTTAAATACGAGAAGAAACTGAAACCGAAACCTCGGCTCCGTCCGGCAACATTGGCATCGGGCTGCCAAGAACGTGGCTATCACGTGGTACGAGAGGTCGCGTGATCCTTTACGGGACGACGGGCGGGATTGGGGCGGGCGTATGTAATGGGCGCAAGTGTCGTCTGCACCGCATTCTTCACCATGTTTTGGTGTCTACAACATTTGACGACTTCTGCAGAACTGCGGCATAAGGCTGTGTACGTAACATCCGTAGTGCGAACTACTCCGAGACACAATAGGGAGTTTTCGTAGACCGCGTTTCCCCCTCTGCTAAACCGTCCGCAACGAAGCCGCTACTGCGCCTGCGCGTCGATGGCCTTGACTGTAGAATTCCGGGTATCGCAGCGGGTGGCGGAGAGCATTGAGGGACGGCAAAAACGATCTGGGAAAATCCTCTAATAGGGAGTTTTAGAATAGCGAACGCTAAAGCTTTCCGTACGCAAGGAATAGCTTCCTCGCCACTGCGCATGCGTCAAACTCTAACCCCGTTTTGCGCTTTGCGCGCGCTATTTTAGCGTGCGCCATTTCTCAGAAATGGCGTGCGTACGCAAAGAATCTCTGCGCTCCTCTAAAGGCCCTGTCACACTGCGGAAACAGTCGGAGAACTTTGTCCTTCAACACGAGGAAAACATGTTTTCAGGGACCCTGTCACATTGCGGAAACAGCAACAGTCCGGAAACATGTCGCTGTCGTCCGAAAACCATGTTTCCCAACTTGTTCTCCGACACTTGGGGAACATCCTGTCACACCGAGAAAGCGTGTTGGAAGAACACAAATTGCCTCCTCTCCTGCGCGCTGCCTCCCTCTCTCTCTCGCCCTCGTCTGCCCGGCCGGCTCGGCTAAGTTACAAGCGCGAGCTCCGGGCTTTCAGCCTCCCTGCCAAGCACGCGCGCTCGTGCAGTGCAAGCACTGTTCTGGGCCAGATGCTCGCGCGGCTGCCTCTGGACCGAAGCTGAAACGAAGTATAAGCGGCTAGGCTCAGATCCGCTGGCTCCGCTCGCCCCTTGAATCGTTGCCATTTTGGATCACCGTCTCATCGACGTCGCTCTACCGTAGTCAATTCATCAGCCGCGCGAACCATCTCGTGTTCTCTGGATTTGGCGGTTGCGTTCTGCTACAGGGCTAGACCCTTGCACGATGGCATACGCGCCGGCCACAGCAGCAGCTTCTGCTTTGAGGCCCTGTCACATTGAGGAAACACGGCGGAAACATGAACAAAACCTGTTTCTCAACAGTCGGGAAACATGTCGGCTGTCGGCTCTGTTGCCCGACAACCCTGTCACATTGAGGAAACAGCAACACAACATGGACGACAGCGACAATGTTGTCTCGGTGTGAAAGCTTTTGGCAACGGAAACCTCGACAACTTGTGTCGGATGACACGTGTTGCCCATTTTGGTGGCTGAGCGAATTTTTTTCCAGCAACACGGCAACATCTATATTTTTCTGTACAGAGAGTCGCACGAGAATACTTTAATAATAACGTCAAGCGTGAAGGTCCATTTTGAACGCGGCTTCTTGCGCGGCGGCAGCTGATCGTCAGAATCATCTGAATCGATGGCACAAAGAAGTACCAAAGCAGAAGCTGCTGCTGTGGCCGGCGCGTATGCCATCCTGCAAGGGTCTATCTAGCCCTGTAGCAGAACGCAACCGCCAAATCCAGAGAACACGAGATGGTTCGCGCGGCTGATGAATCGACTACGGTAGAGCGACGTCGATGAGACGCCCATCCAAAATGGCAACGATTCAAGGGGCGAGCGGAGCCAGCGGATCTGAGCCTAGCCGCCTATACTTCGTTTCAGCTTCGGTCCAGACGCAGCCGCGCGAGCATCTGGCACAGAACAGTGCTTGCACTGCACGAGCGCGCGTGCTTGGCAGGGATGCTGAAAGCCCGGAGCTCGCGCTTGTAGCTTAGCCGAGCCGGCCGGGCAGACGAGGGCGAGAGAGAGAGGGAGGCAGCGCGCAGGAGAGGAGGCAATTTGTGTTCTTCCAACACGCTTTCTCGGTGTGACAGTATGTTCCCCGAGTGTCGGAGAACAAGTTGGGAAACATGGTTTTCGGACTACAGCAACATGTTTCCGGACTGTTGCTGTTTCCACAATGTGACAGGGTCCCCGAAAACATGTTTTCCTCGTGTTGAAGGACAAAGTTCTCCGACTGTTTCTGCAGTGTGACAGGGTTCTCCTTTGTGCCATCGATTCAGATGATTCTGACGATCAGCTTCCGCCGCGCAAGAAGCCGCGTTCAAAATGCCCCTTCACGCTTGACGTTATTATTGAAGCATTCTCGTGCGACCATCTGTACAGAAAAATATAGATGTTGCCGTGTTGCTGGAAAAAAATTCGCTCAGCCACCGAAATGGGCAACACGTGTCGTCCGACACAAGTTGTCGAGGTTTCCGTTGCCAAAAGCTGTCACACCGAGACAACATTGTCGCTGTCGTCCATGTTGTGTTGCTGTTTCCTCAATGTGACAGGGTTGTCGGGCAACAGAGCCGACAGCAGACATGTTTCCCGACTGTTGAGAAACATGTTTTGTTCATATTTCCGCTGTGTTTCCTCAATGCGACTGGGCCTTAAAGGGATGGTGAACCGAAATTTGGATTTCAGAAAAAACAATGCAGGAAACGTAGGCGGGACGCTACAATCCCTACACCACTACTCGTAAGGCGATATCTCGAATGGATGGCCGTATTTTTGGAAAAAGAGGTCCAGATTGAACTAGGCCGACGAGGCGCGTGACATCACTATACCGAGTTTCCTCCTCTCTCCGCTTCGCTCCCTCAAGGCTGTGAGGCAGAGAAGACGCGAGGCCGTTTCCTCTCCTTCTCGGAGAAACATGACGACATCATCTCTGTCAAATGCGCCTCCTTTTCTTGAAAAATTTGGTCATTCGTTCAAGATATCGCTGTATGAGTGGTGTTTTGGTGTTTGTAGCATCCCATCGCACACTTTTACCGCGTGTTTTGTGGAATCAAAATTTCGGTTCAGCATCCCTTTAAGGAGGATTCGTGATGAGAAGTTGGGTAAAGCCAAGACGAGCGCAGTTAAACAATGGCGGCTCCCAGGGCCATGTCTGCGCCAGCTTCGGCGGTGTCGTGAGCGCGACGTCGTCGGCATCCTCGTGACTGCGATTTTCATTACGGAACGACATTGCACTCGGTTCGACAACGATCATCGGCAACTTCATGCTTGCGACGCGCGAACATTTCTCGGCGAAGGCACGGTGTGTGAAGGTCAGTACACGAGACCTCTCTTGCCGAGGCGACGCAAGCGGACACGACCGGTCGACCACTTCGTGTCGCATTGTCACGTTTAAACAAATCTAAAATATCACTTTGGACCAAAAAACTTGTTTCTTCTCAAGTTACAGCATTTGATGTGTGTAATAAAATTGTGACCTTATCTGGGTGGCGTTGAAAGCGCCAGGAGCTTGGGCTTTTGCGTCGCGGCGGAGAAACGCTATTTTAAAACTTTCTTGCGTAGCGTGCACCAACACAAGCGCTAAATTTAGCGCTGGCGTATGCTAAAATTGCGTACGTTATTCGAAGACAACCTAATTGTCGCAAAAGTGTAACGGCGGGGCGGCCGGACGGCTCCCAAGAACTGCGCTGCAGAGGCGCGCCGAGAGGACACGTTATTAGGGAGTTGTAGTAGATCGTTTTTCTTCTCCGCTACGGTATCCCCGCAGAAAACGGCGCAGCTGCGCATGCGCGCTGCCAGCCTTCTCTGCGTAGTTCAAGGTCTTGTGGCGGATTACGGAGCGCTATCCGGGTGCTTAGCGGGCTGCGGAAACGGTCTACTACAATTCCCTATTAACGTCACCCGTTACTCTTGCCCGGAGAAGCAAAGACCAGCAAAAGTCGCAATGGTGATGACGATTAGCTCAATGTTTGCTACGCCCACGCTGTAGCCTTCACTGCGCTGTTGGTTGCGCCTCAATTTGCTGTCTCTTGGCATTTGCATGGGGTCCACTGGACCTGGGCCGCTGTGACGTGATTAAACACCGCAATGATACCTTAGATTCGACACCCGTGTTCCAGCGTCCGTATAGGATCCCATACTCCCAGCGGCGCGAGATGGATAATCAGGTTAAGGAGCTGTTGGAGAAGGGCATTGTGGAGCCGTCGAAGTCGCCTTGGGGGGCTCCGGCCCCGCTGGTTGAAACGTCCGACGGATCGTTTCAGCTCGTGGTGGACTATAGGAAATTGAATGCCGACACGCGAGTTGATCCATATCCGATTCCCGACATTCAGGAGACCCTGGCGCAGCTTGGCAGTGTTGGGTACCTCAGTGCCGTGGGCAGATTGAAATGGATTCCACAGACAAATCCCCCAAGACGGCATCAGGCCGTTACGACTGGAACTGGATGCAATGGGTCTTGTGAACAGTCCAGCCGTGTGGCAGAGGACTGCCGATGTTATTCTCGAGGGGCTGGTGGGACAATTCTGCCATGTTTACATGGACGAGGTTGTAATCTACAGTCACGATTTTGACTCACACTTGCGAGACATCAAGTGCGTCCTGCGAAGGTTTCAGGCGGCTGGGCTCAAGTTGAAGCCCTCGAAGTGCCAGTTTCTAAGGCAGG